CAAGACTGATGTGACGACGCCTCGCCAAGCGACCGTGTGACGCGAACGCGTCATCAGTGAGGTCGGCGTGACCTTCACTGTGTTATACCGCAATCATTAAGGTGATTACGGGACGATGATTACGCCATGATTGTGGGTACAGGATTGTGGGTACAAGATGGGCATCGACGTGGCGTTCTCTGATTGGATAAGGTAACTGTGTATCCAGTAGAGAATCCAGTAGGGTGTATCCAGTAAGAGGTATCCAGTAGCAGGCTTAGAGGTAGCACGCGGTTGCGAACTAAGGACCTGAATCGAATCACTTTGCATTTTGCCAACTACTGCTCAAGTGCTCTTCCTTTTGGTTATGAGCCCAAGCCCCGTCTTCCCTGACCAAGACCCCGACTACGCCTTCGCCATGGACGCCGCCCCGACCGCGACCGCCCGCATCAACTAGTTCGACGGAACCAACTTCCACACATGGAAGTTCAAGATGCAGATGGTGCTGGAGGAGCGCGAACTGTGGGAAGTGACGAGTGGGGAAGTGAAGCTCGAGCAGTGCACGACCGCGGCGGACCAAGCGACGTTTCGCAAGAAGTCGCGCAAGGCGCTGGCGATCGTCTGTCTCGCGTTGGAGGACTCGCAGCTGCCGCTGGTGCGGTCGGCGAAGGACGCGCATGATGCATGGTCAAGACTCGAGGGACACTTCGAGAAGAAGAGCCTGGCGAACAAGCTCTTTCTTCGTCGACGGTTCTTCACGACAACGATGGACGAAGGTGATGATGTGCTGGAGCACATTAACAAGCTCAAGACGCTGGCGGAACAGCTCGACGCGGTCGGCGCTCCGGTCAGCGAGGACGACTTGGTGATCACGCTTCTTGCCAGTCTGAGCGAGTCGTACCAGTTCCTCATCACGGCGTTGGAATCGCGTTCCGACACGCTGACGTGGGAGCTCGTGACGTCTCGGCTCCTGCACGAGGACATGAAGCGCAAGGAACAAGGTGGCGGTGCTGACGGAACCGCGCACGCTCAAGGTCAAGCGTTCATGACAAGCGACAACGGGAAGCGCAAGGGACGGCAGGCGCAAGCGCAGAGGACGAGCGCCTGTCACTACTGCGGCGAGCACGGACATTGGATCGCCAAGTGTCCGGTGCGGATCCGCGAGAACGGGGAGCGGCAGAGGCCGCAACGAGCGAACGTCGCGCAGGTCGAAGATGACTCTGGCGACTTCCTCTTCTCGGTTGGTGGCGACACGGGTGCCTCCAAGCTGAGCGGCATGTGGCTGGTCGACTCAGGTGCGACGCAGCACATGACGTACTCGAAGGAGTACATGAAGAACTACAAGAAGATCTCTCCGGTGGACGTGCATCTGGCGGACGACGGCGTGGTTCAGGCGGTGGGGAGCGGCGACATCGTGATGTCGATGCAGACACCGCGCGGCATGAAGAAGGGTGTGCTCACGGGTGTGTGGCACATCCCGAAGCTGTCGCGCAACCTGTTCTCCGTCGGCCGCTTCACCAAGGACGTCGGGCCAGTGACCTTCGAGAGCGACGGGTGCTTTGCGGAAACGAAGGGTCTCAAGTGGAAGCTCGGCGCTCGCGAAGGCAAAGGACTGTTCAAGCTCTGCATGACGCCGAGGACGCCTGCTGACGAGGCCAATGCGGCAAGCTCGAAGAATCGCCAAGGGGACACCACGTCGTACCTCTGGCACCTTCGACTTGGTCACATCGGCCATGGTGGTCTCGACGCCATCGTCAAGAAGGGCTACGGCACTGGCATCCCAATGACGTCGGTGAAGCAGTGGGAGGTGTGCGACGGGTGCGCACTCGGCAAGCAAACGCGAGTAAGCTTCATGAAGTCGTCGCCGAACCGTGCGAAGCAAGTGCTGGAGGTGGTCCACAGCGATGTGTGCGGTCCGATGCAGACGGCGACGTTCGGAGGCAAGAGCTACTTCGTCACGTTCATCGACGACAAGTCGCACTTCTGCGTGGTGTACCTACTACGGAACAAGTCGGAGGTGGCTGCCAAGTTCGCTGCGTTCGTCGCGTTGGCTGAGACGCAGACCGGCAAGCGAGTGAAGGTGCTTCGGAGCGACAACGGCGGCGAGTACACTTCGGGTGCGATGGCCAAGTTGTGTGCGGATCGCGGCATCGAGCAGAAGTTCACGCCGCCATACACGCCTCAGCTCAACGGTGTGGCCGAGCGAATGAATCGGACGCTGGTGGAGTGTGCGCGCTGCATGCTGGAGCACGCCGGGTTGTCGAAGGAGTACTGGGGAGAAGCGGTGATGACGGCCACGTTCCTCCGCAACCGGTGACCGACGCGCGCCATCAGTCACGACAAGTCGCCGCACCACGTTTGGACCGGCAAGAAGCCTTTGCTGGCCAACCTCAAGGTGTTCGGGTGCCACGCGTACGTGCACGTGCCGAAGGAGAAGCGGTCGAAGTTCGACGCTCGGTCGGTGCGCTGTCGTTTCCTCGGGTACTCGGAGCACGAGAAGGCGTATCGGTTCGAGGAGATCGAGAGCGGTCGCGTGTTGGTGAGCCGCGACGCGCAGTTCATGGAGGATGTCTTCGACGGTGGGAGACGCAACTACGCTTCGAAGGAGGTGTTGGTGGGTCTTCCGACAGATGATGATGAAGACACCACGGATGAAGAGACTCAGTCCGGATCAGACGAGAACAGAGAAGAAGCTGCGCGGAATCAAGACTTTGAACCCGGCAGCAAGCGACACCCGCGCACGCAGTCGCTCGAGGAAGCCGTGGAGGTTCCGAGTGCCAAGCGGTATGCGGTGCCGAGACGACAGCAGCCGCTGGACGAGATGTCTGCCGCAGCACAAGAGAAGGAAGACTTCGAGGCTGCGTACGTCGTGGATTCAGTGGGAGAGATGCCGACAACGTTCAAGTCGGCGATGGAATCCAGCGACGCAGACAAGTGGAAAGAGGCGTGCGACTCGGAGGTGGAGTCGCTCCGCAAGAACGAGACGTGGACCCTGGTGCCACTGCCGAAGGGACGCAAGGCGATCGGCTGCAGATGGGTGTTCCGCGTGAAGGAGAACCAGTCTGGAGAGATCGAGCGGTTCAAGGCGCGACTGGTGGCGAAGGGGTTCTCGCAGAAGTACGGCATCGACTACGACGAGACGTTCGCGCCGGTGGCCAAGTTCACGTCGATTCGGGTGTTGCTGAGTCTGGCGGCCAAGTACAAGCTCACAGTGCACCAGATGGATGTGAAGACCGCGTTCCTCAACGGCTTGTTGGACGAGGACATCTACATGGCGCAGCCGGACGGATATGTGGACGGAGATCGACCCGACTACGTGTGCCGGCTCAAGCGTTCGCTGTACGGCCTGAAGCAGTCGCCGCGGATGTGGAACAAGACGATCGACGAGTTCATGTTGAAACTGGGGTTCAAGAAGTGCGAGTCCGACCACTGCATCTACTTGAAGCGGGACAATCACGACATGATGTTCGTGGCACTGTACGTGGACGATCTGGTCCTCGCCAGCAGCAGCGACGGGATGCTGAAGGACACGAAGCAGGCGCTCAGTGACCGGTTCGAGATGACTGACATGGGCCAGCTCAAGTACTTTCTCGGTATGGAGATCGAGCAAGATGTGGCGACTGGGAAGGTGTCGGTGCGGCAGACCAAGTTCGCGAAGGACATTCTCGAGAAGTTCAAGATGGATGAGAGCAACCCTGTGAAGACACCGCAGGATCCGGGTCTGAAGCTGACCAAGGCCATGTGCGAGGGAGGCTGCAAGCACGACGAGACCATGGCGAATGTTCCGTACCGGAACGCCGTGGGCTGCCTCATGTATCTCATGGTGGGGACTCGTCCGGACCTCGCAGCGGCAGTGGGAGTGCTGAGCCAGTTCGCAGCGGACCCATGTCCGACACACTGGCAGGCGCTCAAGAGGGTCTTCCGCTACATCCGAGGCACGAAGACGCACGGCCTCGTGTTTCAAGCGAGCAGCGAGGACGGACTGCAAGGCTACTCGGACGCGGACTGGGCCGGCGACATCGAGTCTCGACGGAGTACGAGCGGCTACGCGTTCATGATGAACGGCGGATGCATCAGCTGGCGAAGCAAGAAGCAGCGCACGGTGGCGCTCTCGTCGACGGAAGCCGAGTACATGGCGCTGTCGGAGGCCACGCAGGAGGCGGTGTGGCTCAAGGTGTTTCTGTGCGAGCTGGGCGAGATGGCGAGCGATGAAGGGGTGAAGATCTACGAGGACAACCAAGGCTCCATCGCGTTGGCCAAGAACCCGGAGTTCCACAAGCGCACCAAGCACATCGACATTCGCTACCACTTCGTGCGCGAGAAGGTGGAAGACGGTCAAGTGGTGTTGCAGTATGTTTCGACACTCGACATGCTGGCGGACATCATGACGAAGCCGATCGCGGCGCCGCAGTTCGACGCGCTCAGGACGAAGCTGGGCATCGTGGTCGCTGACGAGTCGAGTGGGAGTGTTGTCAAGACTGATGTGACGACGCCCCGCCAAGCGACCGTGTGACGCGAACGCGTCATCAGTGAGGTCGGCGTGACCTTCACTGTGTGGTACCGAAATCATTCAGGTGATTACGGGACGATGATTACGTCACGGTGATTACGCCAAGATTGTGGGTACAAGATGGGCATCGACGTGGCGTTCTCTGATTGGATAAGGTAACTGTGTATCCAGTAGAGAATCCAGTAGGGTGTATCCAGTAAGAGGTATCCAGTAGCAGGCTTAGAGGTAGCACGCGGTTGCGAACTAAGGACCTGAATCGAATCACTTTGCATTTTGCCAACTACTGCTCAAGTGCTCTTCCTTTTTGGTTTGCGCGTTCTGCAGTGCCGTTGGTTTGGTGCACGTACCGAACGGTAGGTTGCATGTCAATACCATGGTCGTCGTAAAACAACTTGAGCGAGTTGGTCGCGAATTCTTTGGCTCCATCATGGCGCACAAACTTCACCTTGGCGTTGAATTGCGATTCCACCTTTAAAATAAATTTCTTCAGGTAGCCTTCGCTTTCCGACTTGGCACGCAAGCAGAATCCGGTCATGCAGCCACTGGCCTCGTCGGTGATCAACAGCAAATACTTGCTACCGCCAAGCGAATCTTCTTCCATCGGTCCGCAAAGGTCGAAATGAAGAAGTTCGAAAGGCGCGTACTTGCATTTGTCGCCGATGCTTGGGAACGGCTTTTGCACCATTTTTCCTTGTTGACAGCCGCCACACACCCCGGAATTCTTCGACGTTTCAGGCAGACTCGCGTCAGTGATCATCTTCGTTGACACCATTTTTCGCAGAACATCAAGTGGGGCATGGCCCATGCGCGCATGTAAGTCGACACCATTTACCGACACCGAAGCCACAGAGTTCGCGCTGACGTTTGGGACGCGGAGCCAGTAGAGTCCATCGTTAAGGTCGGCGACGGCAACAATTTTCTTCGACTTTTTCAGCGCAATGTGCATCCTGGTGCCGCCGAACACCACTTGGAACCGGCCCAACTTGTTGATCTGCGGCACCGAAAGCAAATTTTTGTTCATGCCCGGCACGTACAGCGCGTCTTCGATCACGATCTCGCGTTAAAAGGAAGAGCACTTGAGCAGTAGTTGGCAAAATGCAAAGTGATTCGATTCAGGTCCTTAGTTCGCAACCGCGTGCTACCTCTAAGCCTGCTACTGGATACCTCTTACTGGATACACCCTACTGGATTCTCTACTGGATACACAGTTACCTTATCCAATCAGAGAACGCCACGTCGATGCCCATCTTGTACCCACAATCTTGGCGTAATCACCGTGACGTAATCATCGTCCCGTAATCACCTGAATGATTTCGGTACCACACAGTGAAGGTCACGCCGACCTCACTGATGACGCGTTCGCGTCACACGGTCGCTTGGCGGGGCGTCGTCACATCAGTCTTGACAACAGTTATGAGCTCAAGTACGATGTCCTCTGCGCCTGACGCTTCGTCCAAGGCCATCATCGACAAGT